GGGGCGGGGGTGCAAACGGGGGGGGTGCCAACGGCGGCGGCACTCGGGGGAGGCCGCCCGCCGCGGGCGGCGCCGCTGCTGCTACTGCTGTGGCTGCTGTGGCTGGGGCCGGAGCTGCCGCTGCTGTTGCTGCTGCTGGTGGCGGTTGCATCTGCGCAGTGTGCAAGTGCGTGCGGCGTGCGTGCGTGTGTGTGTGTGTGTGTGTGTCTCTGTGTGCATGTGCGCACGCATGGGCGCATGCGAGGGTGGAAAGACACATATGGTAGTGCCAAGGCACGGAAGCCGGGCAGAGCACGAGGCAAGCCGTCAACGCTTACTGCATGAGAGTTCGCTTGGCTGCCTCAACTTTTCGGCGATAGCATGTAGTTGTGACACTTATTGCTGCAGTGCCACCTGCTCACCGGTGGGGCCAGCCTGGGAGGCGCTGCGCCTGCCCCCGGAGGTGGGGCCGGCGGGGGCGGAAGGCGCGGCGCCCCTGCGGGCCGCGCCCCGGCACCGCTCGTTTGCTGCTCCGAGGGGCCAGTGGAGGCGGCCACTTCTTTTTCTACAGCGGCGATCTCCCCCATGAAGGCCGCGAGCTCAGCATCCAGGTCTGCCATCTTGCTCGCAGCGCTGGGGTGCGCAGCGAGCGCCGCGCAACCGGCAGCAGCGGCAGCAAGTGGGGTGGCAGCCGGCGGCCAAGGCTAGTGTTCTGGGTTTCTCGTAAGCATGCACTAATATTTACTGCAGCGATGTTACACACAAGCACTCGCGGGTAAGCGGCACGGTGTGATCTAATGCCACGCAATTTGTCGGCAGGAGCTTGCTGCATAACACAAAATCATTGTCTATTAACAGTCGTCATGAGTGAAGCATGAAGCTGTCGCGGGCATTGCGGCGGTTGCCTGATTGTGCAGTCACCACGACGCAAGTGTGCCGCTGCCAGCAGGGGCGCCGGACGCACGCTCATACTGTGCACAGCCAATGCCTGAGATAAAAAGTTTGCATTTGAATTGATGTAATGCGCGCAGGTGTGCCCTCGTTCTTGGTCAGCGCAGTTACATTACGTCACGAAGAACGCTGGGCAGCGCGAGTGTTGCCACCCTGTGAAGCGACCGCCGCATGGCAGCTCGGGGGTGCCGCACGTCCAGCGAAGCTGTGCGGCGCTGTTTCGTTTTGATGTTTGAGTGAGATGTCCGTTGCATCACGTTGACCCCACTGGTGAACCCCAGACAGCTGGAGCTGACCTGCTGCCACCCTAGCATGCATGAAGGTCAATAACAGGCGCCACATTGTTTCAGCCAAGCAATGCGAACGGGCGTAAACATTCTGCACCAGCACCTCAACCAAAAATGGCCCGAGAGTTCAACAACTCAATGACTGGTGATTGACCCTGGGGCGTGGACAACATTGTGTCCTACCCCTGCACCACCCAAGCAATGCGTAGTAGTTACGCCTCCAGGATGGAAACCCAGGCACCCGCGGAGCTGCCGGGCAGCTTCTCAGCGGTCACGTAGACAGTGCCTGTGCCCGCCTGCACCGCCATCGCCGGCGGCACCGGCCACACGCCCGCGGCCTTGACGGCCTCGCGCGTGAGGGGCTGCGTGCCGCGCTGCTCGATGCGGAGCGTGGCAGCGCCGGAGCCAGGGGTGATGGTGATGGACGCCACACCTGTGCGCGCGAAAAAAGGACCAGACAAGGAAGGAATTTAAGGTGGTCTTGGTCATCGGAGCCAGCCTCAAGCACGAACACGGCAGTCAGGGCCAGTGCCAGTGGCGTTCCCTCGCCCGACCCCCGAAAATTTGCTGCCCTGCGCGCGGCGCGCGGCCTTTTGCCCTGCCCCTCCCTCACCTGGGTATGCCGGCCCCGAAGAGCCCTTCACCTTCCCAGCCCCAGAGTAGGTGGCAGCCACCATCATAACGCCCTGCCGCGACACCGCCAACGCCGGCGCCGCGAGCGCGAGCCCGCTGGCCGCCGGGGACTGCGCCAGCGACCCGTGCTGCACCATCGCCGCCGACAGCGCGGCGGCCGGCTCGCCGCCGGCCGGGCAGCTGGCGCGCGCCGCCGCCGTGCAGGACGCCGCGGGCGCGACGCACACGGGGCGGAGCGACTTGGAGGCGGACACCTGGGCGGTGAGCACGCCGCTGGACGCGTTCTCGAACGAGGCAGCGGACGCGGCCGCCTTGAGCTTCGCTGCCTCCGCCTCGCCCGCCGCCGTCGCCTTGGACGCAGCCGCGGCCTCCACCGGCCGCTCGGCCGCCTGCGCCTGCGCCTGTGCCAGCCTGCGGTGGCCCCAGCCCCCGCGGCCGAGGCCAAAGGGGAACGCGCCAAACGGTCCCCAGCCGCCGGGCGCGAGGCCGGTGCCCCAGCCGTACACGCCGCCAGTGCCCAGGAAGGAGCGCTGGCACATGATCTGGCAGGACGAGCCCCAGTTGACGCCACCAACGTTGGAACCCGAGAAGAAGCCGCCGAAGTAACCGCCAGCCCAGCCGCCCGTGCCGTAACCGCCGCCATAGGGGCCCGGCCCGAAGTTGCCGGCCGGCCCGCCGCCCCAGCCGGCGTTGCGCCAGCCGTTGGTGCCGGCGATGTCGCCGCCCGGGAAGTAACCAGACCCGACGCCACCGTAGTTGTTGTAACCACTGTAACCGGGTGACAGGCCGAAGTTGTACGAAGACGCGGCCGACACGAACCCGGCCTTGCCCGGCGCGCACGACCAGCAGGACCAACCCTCAAAGCCGCCGCGGCCGCCGCTCTTGCCGTACACGGCGGCGGCCGTCAGCTGCCCCGGCGCCGCCACGGCAGCAGCGCTGGTCCTGGGGATGGCGCTGACCGGAATGAAGAACGGGCTGACGTCGGTGCGAGTGAGCTGCTGGGTCACCTCCATGTCACCGGGGGACGCCGCGACCACGGTGCCCTCTTTTGTGGGCGCGATGCGGTCGCCGTACAGCGCCGTGGCCTGGACCAAGAGGGCGGACGCGTTGACTGACCGGGTGACAAACTCCTCCCAAGCGGGCTGCACCGCCGCGGCGAAGGTCGAGCTGACATCGGCGCCAAAGTCAAAGCCCTCGCCCCAGGCTGATGTCGCTGCGCACGAGCCGCCTCCGGAGGTGGTTAGGGTCGGCTGCAGCACGGCCCACGCGAGGGTGGGGGTGCGGGCATCACTATCTGACGCCACCTCATCCACAAGCCAGACCTTGCCTGAAGCCCAGACGGCCTGGGTTTGTCAAAAGGTGTCAGAACAGGAGGGGGCGTGGGGGTGAATACCAGGACTTGAAATTCGAGTCGGGGGCAAAGGGTGGCACCCGAAACCATCTGTTGCTGTGTTGGTTGTCTGCATCTGCGCCTGCATCCTTTGGTCCCCTGGTGTTGCAGCCGACAGCCCCCAATGCGGACAGCAATGCACAGCCAGAAACACAACACTATTCAGATGCGTTGCTCACCCGGCCCGACCAGAACCCAGCTGGCAGCCGCGACACCTCCAGCGCAGGCGCGCCCTCCGGCTGCGTCATCACGCTGCCCTGCGCCGGCGCCGCCACGGCCGAGCCGCGGTCTGCCAGCGAGGCTGTGAGGAAGGGCGTCACTGCGTCGGCCGGGCTGTCTGAGTCTGTCGTGAAACCCCACATGGCGCCGGTGTTGGTGAGGGCGACCAGCAGGAAGTTGCGGCGCAGCTGCCCCTTGGGCACTGCCAGCTGCGGAACACGCGTGAAAATATGGGAGAGGAGCGGCACGTGTATAGTCGGTGGGCGGCATGCCAGGCACCTCTGGAGAAGTCCCTGACACCATTGCTGCCGCAAACCTGCTGTTATCTCGGACCCCTGACGCCCAGCAGCGGAACAGCAGCGGCCCACCAGCTGCGGGCGGCCGGCCATTAACAGCTACGTGCTGATGGCTCTGCGCAGCCCCTCCCTCAACTCCCAGCCCCTCCCTCCGCTCACGTCGGCCACAAAGTACATGCTGCCCTGAGCCACGTCCTCCTCGCGCTGCGCCGCCACCGGCTCCAGCTGCACAATGCCACCAGGCAGAGACTCCCCGCCTTCCACCGCCTGCGCAACCTCGTACGACGTGAAAACCGGGTACGAGAGGCGCGACTCGCCCTTGGAAGCCGCGCCCTTGGGCAACACGAGCAGCGCGGCACCGTGGCCGGCCGCGCCGCGCGCGCCGCCGGAGCTGGGGCAGTAGGAGTGCAGGGAGACCGCGATGGCGTCCCAGTTGAAGTGCAGCCGCGGGTAATCAACGAGCGCCGCCTCGCCGTTGGCGCACGCGAGGCGCGTGCCGACGCCGTCAGCGTTCAGGTTGTAGAGGTACCATGCCGCGTGCGGCTCCGCCGAGGCGGACACCGCGAGCAGCGCCGACCCCGAGCCGCCGCACGCCGCCGCGACGTAGAAGCGCTTCGCGTGCGGGTCGTACGCCGCGTGCGCGTCGTAGACGCCGTCGCGGCAGTTCGAGGACCCGACGGGCGCGAAGAGGTCTTGGAGGCGGATCAATGTGCGCGTGCCGTTGCGGGCGCCCGATTTCGGGGCGAGGGCGTACACGGCAAGAACGCCGTCCGTGACGTGCAGGGCACGCGTCTCGGACGCCGCAAGGGACGCGCCAGCCCCCGCGCCGCCGCCGGCAAAGGGCCCCGCCGGCGCGGCGGCGGGGAAGCCGCCGCGGCTGTTGGGCGCGCGGCGGCGGGGCGGTTCGCGCGGGGATGCGTCCAGCAGGCGGCGGGTGGCGCCAGCGGGCGCGGTGGGAGCGGCGGCGGCCGGCGCGACGGATGGCTGCTTTTCCGGAGCGGCGGCAGCGCGCGGCTTCAGGCTTGCGCTGTCTCGGAGGACAGGGGCTGCGCTGTACCCGTCCCCGTCGACCCCATCCTTTGCCGGCCTGAGGCGCTCGATAGGCCGTATGGACAAGGTGGGCGCGGCGGGGTAGCCGGCCGCACGGCGCACGACGCCCTTGGCTTGAATGGTGGCGGGTGCCGCCGCGTCATCAGCGCCCGGTACGGTGCGTAGGTCGATTACGCCAACTGCGTGTGCGCATGAGCGCGGCAGAGCAGGATATGGGAGGTCGCATGGCGTTGCAGCAACCTGCAGCGCTGTGGCAGTGCATAACAGTTCACCACGAGCTTTGCGCATGTACAGTATGTATTCCGCATTATGCTCAATGTCAGTCGTGCTGCTTGTTTCTGATGCATGCGCAGTCGTTGATAAGCACAGACGAACTCACCGAAAAGCGGGTACGAGACCGTGGCAGGCCGCGCGGGCTTTGATGCGCTCGCCAGGCCCAGACACAGCGCTACAAGCGCTATTACGCTGATTCTGTGCATTTGAGATGCCTCTAGCTGCTGCCTGTGCTCGGCATGGGCCAGACGCCCGTTCAATCGTTCAAAAGTGGTTCCTGCGGTGTTCAAAATTTGTATTATAGAGTATCGATGCGTTTGAGGAAACGTGCTTCGAGCATAGGTCGAATCTGGTATCTCAACTATGAAACCCCCAGCTCGCACCCATTTGCAGCGCAACAGCCGCCCGGCCGGTGAGGTGCAGCTCGCGGCTTCACGAGAAAAGGGCCAAAGTTGACCAGTGCTGCGCCTCCTGCATGTTATATGGTGTTGAAGCACACTTCATGCTCACCTACGCGTTTCCCGCTGCATGGGCTGGCAGCCAAAGCGAGCTTAACGAGCAGGCGGTAAGGCGTGATCCCAGCAGCTGGACCCGGGGGCCTCATCAGCATCAACAGAGTATCCCATCTTACATGCTGAGTTTACGGCCTCCAGCTCCTCAGAAGTTGCTGCTCATCGGTGAATGTGTCAGACACTGCTTCCGCCGCCACATGCCCTTTGGGCCCCGCCTTGACCGCCGCTATATTTGCGCTCCCTTCCAATTGACGGCGGATTCGCCCAACTGCTGCCTCGCCTAGAGCAGACGCGTGCCATTTTCTGCCAGCCCTGCTGTCTGGCCGCGCAAAGCGTTGCTGTTGGCGCTGCTGCTGCTGCTGCTGCTGCTGCTGCTGCTGCTGCTCCTGCTGCTGCAGCTGCCCGGGAATGTCGCCAGGCTGCTGCCATGGCCCTGCCCCGCCCTCGCCCCGCGTACACAACGTCGGCGAGCCAGCAGCCTCGGCCCGCGCAACATCGGCGGCGTGGCGGGCGCGGGCAAGGCGCTGCTCTGCTTCCTCTTGGTCTCGTGCCGCCTCATGATCCGCCAGCTGCTGCTGCAGCTGCTCAACCTGGTCAGTGCGCAAGCCAAGGTGAGACGCGAGCCGATCATGCCAATCAGCGCACCCAATCGTTCAGCACTTAGGCTAGTTGATGACGGGCAGCTGCAACGCGGCGCACACCAGCACACACAGTCGGCGATATGAGCTTCCAAATCAAAGAGAGCCCGACCCTTCCCACCTCATGGCGAAGCTGCCGCGCCTCAACCTCAGCCGCCCCTTTCATCAGCGCCGCCTGCCGCCGCATGCGCCCCTCCGAATCCTCCGCCCCCGCAACAGCCTCGGCCAGAGCCCGCCGCCAGCGCTCACACCGCCGGCTCAGCAGCTCTGTCCTGGCGACCGCAAGCGCAAGTTCTGCGCCCAGCTGGGCCACGCTGCGCTGCAGCGCCGCCTCGCGCTGCTCGGCGGCGCCGAGTTCGGCGTCATGGGCGGCGGCGGCGGCCGCCAGCTGCTTCTTGGAATCTGACAACAAGGACTGGTGTTTGAGGAGGGGGGGCAGTGCACCGAAAGGCCGTCAGCGGTGGCAGATGCCTTGGCCCAGGAAATGGGTCCAGCGCTTCTGGAAGGCCAAAGGTAAACCCTTGCACATCGCTCAGTGGGATCCAGGCATCAGCCTCAGCTCGTCTCTGGTACCCTTGCTCTGCCCCAACCAACCTGCAGCAGCTGGACGCGCTCCTGGGTGATTTCCAGATCTCGCGTGGCATTGCCTGGCCTTGCCTTGCCTTCGTGCTGCCGCTGCTGCTCTCTGTGCGAGTCATCTGTGCCTCCGCTGCTGCCGTCCTCGCCATCGCTGCCGGAGCCATCTGATTGCCCGCTGCTGCCGCCGTCCCCGCAGCCGCCGGCGGCCCAGGCGCTGACCTCGGCGCGAATCCCCAGAAGCTGCCCCTGTGTCCGCCGGGCTTCCACCCGCGCGGCGTCGGCCTGGTGCCGCGACGCTCTGAGCTCCGCAGCCAGCGCCGCCGCCCGCTCCTCGAGCAGCGTCCGCCGCCGCTCCTCGCAGGCCGCTGACGCCTCGGCGCGCGCCGTGCGCGCGCGCAGCGCCGCCAGCTGCGGCGGCAGCTCCCGCAGCTGCTCAGCGGAGGCCTCGGCGGCGTCCGCGCGCTCAGCATGCTTTGCCAACTGGGCCCTGCAGGCAGATAGCTCGCCCCTCACCCTTCCAAGCTCAGACTCCGTGTCCAGCACCGCCTGCGCCTGGCGCGCCGCCGCCTCCGCGCCAAGCCGCAGTTGCTCGGTGGCCGCCCGCAGGTCCGCCTCGCAGGCCGCCAGGCGCCGCTTGTTCGCTGTGTCAGATGCTTGGAGGGCGGCGAGCGCCTCGGTTGCCTCAGCTGCCTGGATGCGCGCCTGTGCAGATTGGCAGATGTAGATCTGGCGCAAAGCTGTTGAGCAATTTGCATGCTTTGGCACAAGCAGCGCCGCTTACACCACACCCTTACGGCTTGTTGGTTCGCAGCAAGCGTCTTTGATCGACCATCTTTTTCTATTTGAAGCAGCACCTCGCACCTGCTGCATTGCCGCATCCTGTGCCTCAACCTGCGCCTCCGCCTGGCTGCGTCCCAACTCCGCTCGATCCAGCGCCTCGCGCAGCCTCGAGCGCTCCGCGTCGGCGTCCTCCAGCTGCTGTGCGGCTTCTGCCAGGCGTGCCTCGGCGGCCTCGAGTGCGCGGACGAGGCCCTTGCGCTCGGACTTCAGGGTGCCTGCCTGTGAATTTGAGAGCAGGTCATCGCCCAGGAGTTGAATCGTGGCGCTCGTGCTGACAGGGCGACCTAGATCACTGCTGCTGGGGCTGGCTGGCAGGTGCATTTTTCCAGGTAAGCCAGCGACGGCTGGTGGGACCGCCGGTGCACGTCCCAGCCACCACCAGTGACCATGGCAACATGCGACGCGCCGGCACCCCGACGCCAGCGGCCCTGCTGCCTCACCTCCTGCGATGCCGCGGCAGCGCCCTCCTGCGCGACCGCCAGCTCAGCACCTAGCGCGCCTGCGCGCGCCTCGGCCGACAGCAGCTGCGCGCGCGCCTCCTCGACGCCTGCCTGCTGAGCGGCTGCTAGGCTTTGGTACTCGGCCGCTTGCGCCTGAGCCTCTTGCAGCTGCTCCCGCAGAACGCGCTCAGACGCCGTGCTGTCGCGCGACTGCGCAAATATGTGTAAACGTGTGTGTATGGGCATGTGTGCTGCGTGAGTGCGCGCACGGGCGCACGTGCACGTGTGTGAGCGTGTGAGCATGGCAGGGCACAGGGAGAGGCTGTCCGAGGGCGAGCACTTGGGCATGTCAACGCGCCCGCAGGGCAGGAATCTCTGAGGCCAGAACATGTTCGCTCTAAGTCACGCTAGCCTGGTTGAACGGCTGTCTCAGTGCTGTTGTGAGAATTTTCCATAATGTGGTGCCTCCCATGCTGTTGGCTGACCCGTGCAATCACAGCCCATGTCGCCCCACCCACCATCTCGTCCAGCCGCCGCTGCAGCGCTGCCTCCCGCTGTCGCACTGCCTCCCGAGCCCGTGCCGCCTCCCTGCCGCCGACCTCCGCTTGCGCCGCCTGCGCTGCCGCCGCCTTGGCCACCGCCTTGAGACGACCCGCCAGGTGCTCGTACCTCGCCTCAAACGATCTAACGCGCGCCTCCGCCTCGGATGCGCGGCGGTCCGCCTCGGACAGGTCGCGCTTTTGCGCGGAAAGAGCGCGCGCTGCCTCCCTCGCAAGCGCCCGCACGTCCCTCCAGCCGTCCAAAGGGCCGCCTAGCCCTCGCAAGAGACTGCTTGCAGGCAGCCGTGCCCATGCCTCAGCCGCATGCGCCTCCGCCGGCCTGGGATGCGCACGCGTGGCAGCCGCTGCTGAAACCTCGGCTGGGTCCCGGCATTCCTCGTCAGCCAACTCATCATTGGCGTCCACGGCTGAGGTACTGCTGCCGCCGTTGCCGCTGAGCCCCTGAGCGCCATAGCTGCGCAGCATCAGCGCGAGGCGGCGCACGTGGGTGCCGACCAGCTGCCGCTCTGCCACCAAGTAGCTTCTCTCCAGCTGCTGCTGCTCGATGGCGGCTGTGAGGCGCGCACACTGTGCCTCGAGGCTGCCGGCGCGGTCCCTGGCTTCTTGCAACTGTGGTAAGGGTATCGTGCAGACGGCGTGTGCGGGGCACGCAGGTGAAGACAAGGTCTGTATGAGAAGGCGTCAGACAGTGCGGCCAGGGCCTCGCTTAGCAGTGTGTTGCTGTGGCTTGAATGTCTCGCCCATGGACTCATAAGACGAATTGGCATTTGACATGCATGTCCATGCAAAGCGATAAGCATCCTTGTGGCCAACACCACCAGGCTCACCTCTACAACTGCCCGCACAGCATGGCCAAGGGGCATCGCGACATCACCAGGTGTCGCACCTTGCTGCACACATGAAGACGTGCACTGCTGCTGCTGGTGTTGCTGCTGCTGTTGCTGCTGCTGTTGCTGCTGCTGTTGCTGCTGCTGTTGCTGCTGCTGTTGCTGCTGCTGCTGCTGCTGCTGCTGCTGCTGCTGCTGCTGGTGTTGCCGCTGCCGTTGCTGGTGCCATTGCTGTTGTTGCTGCTGCTGTGGCTCGCCATGCCAGACATGCTGCTGCTGGTGTTGCGGCTGGGGCGCGTGGTACTGCTGTGGGGATGCCGGTTGCCTTTGAGGAGGAACCCACGAAGGCCTCACGTCGGGCTGAGACTGCCATCGCTGCGTGTGAGTGAGCCCTTCAAGCTGTTCCTGCGGCATGTGCCGAGCTGCTGGGTTGTGAGCTGGCTGCTGCTGCATCTGATAGCACTGCCCCGCATCCCCTCCGCTGTGACCCGCCCCGTGATCCTGCTGCTGCATCGGCCGGTCGTGCTGGAGCGCCTGGTGCCCCGCCCGCCAGGGGGCTCCCTGCTGGTGCAGCTGCGATGTGTCCGACCACTCATCATCGCCTGGGGCCACCCACTCGCACGCCTCGGCGTTCTGGCCCTTAGGGTGCACTTGTGAGTCTTGCTGCTCGTCCGTTGGGCCTTCAGTGTGCTCACACCACTGCTGCTGCTGCTGCTGCTGCTGCTGCTGCTGCTGCTGCTGCTGCTGCTGCTGCTGCTGCTGCTGCTGCGTTTCCTCAGGCACCAGGGGCAGGTGCTGCTGCTGCTCTTGGAGCTGGAGCTGGCTGTTGCTTTCCTGCTCAAGCGCCTGCTTGACGATTTCCAGCTCCTGCCACAACAGCGACAGTGAAGTTGTGACAGCATCAGCCGCCTCCTGCGCTGCCACGTCCTCTGGAGCCGCCCACGCCGAGGGTACAGCTGCGTGCCCGGGCCCATGAGGCGCTACTGATATGACGGGCAGGGGGGGCCTTGCGCCTGCTGAGTATGCCTGCTGCAGCGGCACGGTCTGCTCTGGCCCCGGCCCTGCCCCGCTTTTGCCGGCCACGACTGCCTCTTCCACAGCCGCCTCCTCGGCCGCATCCGAGCTGCGAAGCTGCCGCAGCCACCCTGCATTAATGGGTGTCTGGCTTTCACCGCCGTCCAAAACCACCGAGCCTGATGCGCCAATGCCTTCCTTCACAGCCGCCTTTCCGTTGCTTGCTGGCTGGTCCAGCAGGTGGGGAGCGTCGCTGTTCCCCACAGGCCGTCCTGCTTGGCCCAACACCACATGCTGTTCGTGCAGTTTGGGAGGCTGCTGGTGCTGCTGCTGCTGGTGCTGCTGCTGTTCCTGCTGCTGACTCTGCTGCTCTTGAGGCTGGCTGGAGGTGGAATTCTCAAGCGACACCAGCTGTCGTTCGTCCAAAAGCATCAGCTCCCTGTCCAGGTCCAGCGTCTCAATCAGCAGCGCCCTGGACAGCAGCAGGTTACTGCCCTCATCGTTCCCACCCAGCAAGGGCATCGACCCCAGTGAGCGGAGGCGTGCAGAACGGCTGCTGTGTCGCCGCTCGTGTGGCTGCTGTTGTGGCTGCTGCTGCTGCTGCTGCTGCGGTGGAGGGAGCGGTGGCGGGGAAAGCTGCTCCTGCAGCTGATGCTCCCAATGCTGCGCCTGTTGCTTTTGATGCCTCTGCACCTGATCCTGGCACTCATATTGTTGCTGTTCCTGTTGATGCTGCTGCTGGTGTTGCGGCGCCGGCACTGCATTCGCTGCCATGGGCCCCGAAGGCCCTCACAGCGAAAGACAGGGTGTGACCACCACTCGGTGAAGTTCTCTCAATTGCCCTCAGGTATCTGGGCGGGCGTCGTATGTGACCAGCCACAGCTGCTAACCTGCCGGCTGTGTCTGTTGCCTGCCAAGAAACGCGTCTGGGGGCCCCTCGCAGCGGGAGGCAGGAGTGGGCCCGTGCGTCCACGCACCGCTTGCGCGCTCCTGGGTGTTCCCGCCAGTGCACAGCGGTGGCGGCGGCGCGCTGCTGCAAGAGGGCCCTGCCGTTGCCGCCTCAAGCGGAATCACATCTGACACCCCGCTTTATCACTTTCATGCCCGCGGAACGTGGTGAACACTTGCGTGTTGACTGCATGGCTGTCTCACAGATCTAGACGTCCACGGACATATGCCCGACATTGAAGTTGGAGAAAAAAAATCATCGGCTGCTGTGAATGCTCAACGGTCACCGACAGCTGCGTGATCTGCTTTCAATCATTCAAGCGGCTTGTGGACAACTGGTGAATATCTAGGCATGCATCCTGGCGGCCACGACGAGCCCACATCGAGTGAAGCAAGATTTGTACCCTTGCCACTGAGCATGACCAGGAGTCCACGCGTGACCGGCCGCCTTGGTGGCTTGGTGAAGTCATTGGCATCGAGCGCTGCACACCGATGGGCTGGGCGCAAACCCAAGCGGCGCACCAAATACATCTGGTGTAGGTTATGGCTCAGATGGCATGGCTAGCTTTGCAGGTCAGCCTCAATGGAAGGCGTGTAGTCTACAAGCAAGGCACCCTTGTTGAGCACTGCTGCAACAGGCGTGGATTTTGGTGAGCCGTACTCTGAGAGGGGTACCACCTAAGAATGCGTTTGTACAGTAGTGTGAAGCGCAAAGGGGTGAGTCGGCACTGTGTGTGCGGCGAGCTTTGCACAAGGAGTCAAGGACGGTCGTATGTCACACTCAACACGGGGGTATGAATCCATGTCGCCTGTTCAAGGAAGCTGTAAAATCCACACAGAGAGAATGCAAGCTTTGCCCATCGTCATGATGATGCGGCTGTGCGGCGGGTGCATGCATGCTTGGCAGGAGGTTCTTGGCTTCTTGCACAAACTTCCATCAAGTGTTGTACACCTGAACGCTCAGAGAAGTGTACTCATGAGTCATATTCAACATCACAGCGCAAACTATGTCAGGTATTGGGAGGCAGACGAGCGGTACAGTAGTGCGCGCACAGCGGAATGTGCGCTCGAAGCTGCAGCAAGGGCGCCGTCCACCGCGGACGGCAACGGCCGTGTATCACCAGGGACTTGCATACCTCGGAAAATCCTAGCAGCCGTCAGTATTCGCATGGGGGACTTGAAGCGTCGCTGATGAGTCTCGCGTTTTGCAGCGGACGCTGGTGGTACCGGGTGACCCGCACACGTGCCAGGCAAGCCACGCTAGCCACGTCCCCTGTTTGATTTCAAAACCGTTCGCGGTTTGTTGAACAGGCCGCGCACGCACTCTGCAAACCCCGGCAATTCTTCCGCGCGGCGCCAACGTGGCACAGCTGGTCGACCGCAGCAGCAGCCTCGGATAGTGAACGAAAAAGCAGCCATGAGTCCCTCGAAGGCCTACAAGGCGGTGGGCTTCTCGTCCTTCGGCGAGTACACCAAGGGGCTCGCGTCGCTGGGCACCATTCTCTCCACGCGCTCCTTCTCGCCTATCATGCCCGCGAACCCCGTGAAGTCTAGTGGTGAAGCCATGAAGCGCGTTCTGGTGAGTGCCGCAGTTCGAGCCCCTTCTACTGGCGGGGGTTTCTGTCGCGCGTCGTCGCCCTGGTGAACCGCATTCAATCGCCAGATGACAGGCCCCCTTAGCGATGCGGATTGCGCACAGCCATGAAAGATCAGCAGCGACTTACATGATTCATGACAAAAAGTGGATGCCGCTCGGGTGCCTCGTCGCTTGGGCGCGTGATGAGCCGTCAACGTTCCTAACGGCTCGCCGCTGACTCGCCGAGACGGCCATGTGCGCGACGGGCTGGAGATTGGCAGACCCATGTTGCATTGAGGTCGTCAATCCCTAATTCCTTCTCAAGCCTCGTCACTGTCACCTCTCAGCGTGCCTTATCTTTTCCATCGTCCATCGTGCCTGGCAGGGCGCGTTTGACCTGGTCTGCCTAGGCATCGGCATGATGCTCGGCGCCGGCGTGTTCGTCACCACCGGATACGTGACCGCTAATCTGGCAGGGTGAGAGCACAAACGCACGACCCATGTGCCCATGTACCCTGCGAAACGCTGCGCGCGGCGGATGCACGGTGGCTCCAACTGACTCACGCTCGCGTGCCGTGCTTGGCCCCGCTCATTACGCCCGAAGACCTGGCGTGATCATCAGTTACATCGTGGCCGGCATCTGCGCCATGCTCTCCTCCTTCTGCTACGCCGAGGTGCGTGCAGACCCTGACTCGCCCTCGCGTTGCTGGCCGACCGCCCGCGCGCCATTCACTGCGGCTTGCCCCCGCTACCGCTAGCGGGAAGTGCAGTTGAAGCATTGCTGCTTGATGACTGTTCGATGCCGATCTCAGGGGACCCCTCCTCCTCTCTCCCCCGCCCCTGTTCCTGTCATACAGTTTGCTGTGGACATCCCTGCCGCCGGTGGCGCGTACACTTACATTGCCGCAGCCCTGGGCGAGTTTCTCGCCTGGCTTGCAGTGGCCAAGTGAGCAGCCGTGGCCGCGATCGGGCGCGTAGGCTGGTCTAGCAGGGGATGTGGCTCAGCCAGCCGGACAGCCCACGCGCCAGTCAGGAGCCAGCCACGCCTATGGGGGCGGCAACTTGCCCTGTCGCGGCCGCCGAGGCCGCAAAACTCAAATAATGGGCAGCGCTGTCACATCAGGCCGGCAACCTGCGTTTACTTGTGTGCCTCATCCCCGGCGGTTTGCTCACCCTGGCCTCTTTCCCCATCGCAACTGCCACAGCCTCATATTTGAATACATTCTAGCCAATGCGGCGGCCATCCGAGGGTTCAGCCCTTATGTGAGTGGCCCCAGCATTGGCAGCATTAGCCGATGGGAGGTTTCGCTCGAGCAGGGGAGCTTGGAAAGGCGGGGAGGGCAGAATCTGTGGCATCCACACTTAGAACTGTGCGCCCCGCATGAATCACGCTCTTGCATGCACATACATGCGCGCGTGTGCCCATACTCAAACTCCCAACAATGCGGATCCCGCTCAGTTTGCCGCCCTGACCAACAAGACTGAAACCTGGTACATCCACTTCTGGACGGCGCCTGACGGCACCCTGTTCCAGCTTGACTGGTGCGCCTGCGCTGCGTCTGCTGCAGACCCGCCTTTGGGCCTTGACAAGCTCTGCTGTGGAGATTGCTTTTGGCGCAGCGCCACTTGCGTACGCACGCACGCCAATGCCCAAGGCGAGCTCACAAAACCCTTGCCCGCAAACACCTTGCCCTAACTCCACCAGGTGGGCTTTTGGCTGGTGCCTTGTGCTCTCAGTCCTGCTCATCTTTGGCACCAAGGAGTCCGCCTGGTTCAACGGCGTCGTCACCGTCCTGCACGTCGTGCTCGTGGTGTTCATCATCATCGCCGGCCTGGTCAAGGCCAAGCCCTCCAACGCGGTGCCCTTCCTGCCGTTTGGCGCAAAAGGGGCATTCAATGGCGCGTCTATTGTTTTCTTCTCGTACATCGGGTTTGACGCCGTGGCCTGCGCTGCCGGTGAGCATTCTTGGCGGCTTCTCCCCGATATTGCTTGCCCGCCATTGCATGCCAATTCGAGGCAGAACTCCAACTGCCTTGCAGCCGCCTTGTGGCGCTGAGGACGCAGGCGCCCTGCGACAAGTGTTTGGCGCGTTTGCTTGTCGTCTGCGCACTCTGGCCTGTGCAGCCTGCCCAGACCGCTGCCCGTTGACCCTTGGCGCGGTGCTGCCGCCCGCTGCCCTCGCGCGCGTCTCCTCAGAGGAGACCAAGAACCCGCGCAAGGACCTGCCCAGGGGCATCCTGGGCTCCGTGTCGATCGTGACCGTCCTGTACACCCTCATGGCCATCACCCTGGCGCTCATGGTGCCCCGCGAGGACCTCCTCGGCTTCTCCAGCGCGAGCTTCGCCAACGTGAGCGGCCCTACGGGCAGCGCGGCGCCGCCGCAGCGGCCGGCCCCCAGTGCTGTTGGTGCTGTTGGCAAGAGCAGCACCGGATGCTTGCGCAAAAGTTCAAGAGTATCTTGGGCCTTAAGGCAGCCAACCACATCAAGAGTCGCCTCCTCTCGCAGCAGCCCCTGCATCCGCCTGCCCAACATGTGCCCCAATATGAAAACTCGGCAACTCCACGCCTCACAAACCCCAGGCCTTCACGTACGCCGGCATGCAGTGGGCCACGTACATCGTGGCTGTGGGCGCCCTCCTTGGCATCATTACTACAACCCTGGTGCGGCCCCGCCAACTCGCACCCCTCGGTCCCTGGCGCTTTTGCGCTGCCCCTCTATTGCGTATGCTGTAAGGCCCCCCTGCTGCCCTCCTAGTCCCAACTCTCTATCTTGACTATCTATCTTGGCCTACCCTCATGCCCCGCCCTTTGCTTTTTCCCAGGTGGGCATGTACGGCACCAGCCGCATCATCACTGGCGTCGCACGCGACCACCTCATCCCGCCGTTCCTCGCCACCGTCGGCGGCCGCGCGTCCACCCCCTGGATCGCCATCGCCATCCAGGGCGTCGGCTCGGCCGTCCTCGCCCTGCTGTCGCCGTTTTCTGACCTGGCGGACATGGTGTCCATCTCTACACTGTTTGCCTTCTGGGTTGTCGCCCTCGGCCTGGTGTGGCGCCGCTCCTGCACCGACGGCATTGGTGGTGGCGGCAACCTGCCCGGCCTCGCGACCGCCGACGACTCCGCGCCCGAGGGCGACGCAGACGCCACCCCTGCCGCTGCCCCCAAGAGCGAGAGGCTGGCGCCCGGGGCGCTGCTGCGCCGCCGCCTGCTGACAGCCGGCCTCCTGCTCGCCATCAACGCCGGCGCCCTGCTCTTCACGCTCGGCTGGGTGTTCTCAGAGACAGGCAGCACCCAGGAGACCATCACCCTGTCTGTCGGCGGCGGCGTATTCCTCATCAGCACCGCCTGCCTGCACCTGCTGGTCAAGCCCATGTACACGCCGCCGCGCTACCAGGCGCCGCTGTACCCCTGGCTGCCGGCCGTGTCCATGGCCTTCAATGTGTTTCTGCTCGGCCAGCTTGGCAAGGTTGCCTGGATCAGGTTTTTCATATGGACGGGCGCGTGCATCGCGTGCTACCTGCTGTACTCGTCGGTCGCGTCGTACAACAAGCTCTCGTACGAGAAGGAGTCGCTGCCCACAAACGTGCCCGCGACCGAGCTGACCGCCGGCAAGGATGCTGACATCAGCAAGGACCTCGAGATGACCAAGTGAAGGGCCGGCGGCGGGCGAAGGGCGCTCCGCAGCGGGTGAGATGTTGGGCGAGGGGCGCTGCAGCCCCATGCGCGGCGCACCGTGCACCCTGCCTCGCTTGAGGCTGCTGCCCTCCACGTTCAACCTCCATCCACAGTCTCCTCGCTGCAGCGCGCTGTTGATATGTATCTGTTCATCGTGTGCATAGCCCCTGCATGGCTGGAGTTGCGCACCGCCTCGCTGCGCGCCGCTGTCCTTGTTTCGATCGCCTCACTCGATCCAGCCTGGCATGTTTCATGGCCCTTCAAAAAAATGTGTTGCGGAGCCGCCCATACATAAATGTTTGGTTGACCATCCCTGCATGGCCTGCACCATTGTTCCTGTTATGTAGAGCAACACCAGCCGTTTCCAATACCGGGTCAACGCATCGCGCATGGTACCGTGTATGAGGCGACTTTGTTCCCAGTGGCCGTCACGCACGCACGCCCACTGGGCCGTCCTTCGTTTACAGACGGCTGCCCCCGTCACACACAGTGCGCGCCTCCTTGCACCCGCGGATGGGCGCTGCCATCAAAGCGGAACTGCATGGCAAAGCATGCTAGTGACCGCACTGGGCCGCACTTGAGCACCTGACACGCCGAGACCAGTGATGGCGCGTGCGTTTGGGTGTGGCCGGCTTTTGCACGGCAAAAGTGGTGCGGTTCTCTGGGTCAACGATGCTTCTCGTGTCATATGAATATTCCAGACGATTTGTCCGGCCTCTTACGGGCGTTGTGACGCCGGTGCTGCTGGGATGGGGCGCGGTGCGACGCCTCGGCGCTCGTGCGCGAGGTTGAACCACCGCACATTCGGTCGTATTGCTTGGCGCCGCTGCCCCGGGCTGCCATTTATTTGTCGACGCAGCTACCCATGCAGGCGAAGACCTGGCACTGCTTGACATCACGGCTTGGCTGGTGTATGTGTGCTGATGTAATTGATCTGCCGTCGCACCACCCGCGTCAACATGACTTCTTGGTGAGCGAGCTCCCTGCGCTCGTGGTCACTCCCCAGATCCCCAACAGCCAGACATTCGCATTCCACGGCTGATGGGCAACTTAAAGCTGGCTGGTGCGTCTGCCAGCCCCCAGTTGGACGCACAACATTCAACAGCAACTGAGCAGAGTGACTCAACTTGGGTGACGGGTGGTGCTCCACTGCACCCAACTTCCGCAGCGCACCAGCCATCCGCTGGCAGTGGCAAGCTACTAAAACTGCTGAGGTTTTCTCAGGCATGTTGTGGCCGACATCATTTCAAGGCCCAGCGTCTTTCGGGAACGGCCCGGCCGCCTCGCTTCCGTCGTGTTGCACCCCTCGGCTTCGCCTCTGGTGGTTTTCGGCGCATCATAAAGCGTAGTTTCGTGGATCTTAGCATTTTCTGGCTGTTGGAGGGCGTGCCAGCTTGTAGATTGTCGCTCGCCCTTGACATATTTTTACCGTCTTGTGGCTGTGAAAGCCACACAGTTGAAATGAGAGCCATGAAATCCTGCAGTGCATCGCGCCACACTGCGCATGCGCGACCTGCCACGGCGCCGCTCTCCCGCTCGAGGAGCGTACGCGTCTGCGCCAACACCGAGGGCGTTCAGGACCTTTTAGCGCGCGATCGCAAGCGCAAACAGGTTGAGCTGGCACCTGAGCTGCAGGATCCAGTGCCGCAGCTGCCGGGGCGCGAGGAAGCAGACGCCGCGGAGGACGATGCAGCGGCTGGCAGCGGCAAGGGGCGGCGTGCGGGGCGCTTCAAGTCGCGCTCGCAGCGGCGGCGCGACATGGCGGCCAACGAGGCCGCTGCGGGCAGCAGCGGGTGAGCGGCCTTGCGTGCCGCCAATGCATCTCCACTTCCTCCACAGCAAGCATGCACACACATTGTGTGCATGCAAGAGGTGGTAGCTTTTACGAGGACGTGGCGTCGCCCACACCCAGCCTTTTGGCGGCGGTCCACTCCTCTTGCCCCCTTTTTGTGGTCGCTACCGCAGACCCAAGCGCTGCAAGGAGGCTATCGACGCAGGGCTGATCCAGTTTCAGCAGCGGCAGTACCAGGTGCGGGGCGCAGCCTGCTTCGCAGCCTGCACGCTTGCAAGGCCGCTACTGTGCATGGTATGCACTCAACGCGGCTGCGCCGGCAGGCTGCCGGCTGCACAGCAGCTCCCGCACAAGGTCGGCACTCTTATGCAAGCACCAGCGCATTAGACACATGCCCAGCACCATCCATTCCCGCACACATGCACTTGCACGGCCCCCATGCAGCCAACCTGCCCCGCATCCCCACCTCAAACCCCGTCACAGGCGGCCATCGACCTGTTCAACTTAGCCCTGGAGCTGCCAGGCAACGGCGCGTACCGCCTGCCAGGGTCGCCGCGGGAATACCTCTGCCCTTCAGACGCCGAGGAGAACGCTGCCCTGTGAGCGCAGGCGGGGCGGGCTGCTGAGGGCATGGGCAGCTGTGCCGCATGCGCACAAGCGGAGGCAAATCGATGAGAAAAGCTCACGATTCCGCGTGTGGCAGCACATGCGGCAAGGCAATGAGGTCGCAGCGGCTTGATGCTATCGCTCGCTTGCTTGTCGCATCCTCACTTCACTTGCTGTGCGCTGCCGCCTTTTCCGTGGGTGTCCGACCTGCCCCCCCGCTGTATCTGGCCTCCCGCAGGTACAACATGGCGTGCTGCTACGCGCAGATGGGGCAGGCCGAGGCGGCGCTGACCTGCCTCGAGGGGGTCCTGGAGAACGGTGGGCATCAGCGGCCTGGACGGGTGCTGATCCGTGCGGAGGTCTTGGGCGTGCAGCAGGGAATTTGCAGGGCGTACGTACGCAAGTGCGCGGGCTGCGCTCACGGTTCCGCGATCCCCGCTATCACACTTTGGTCTCAATGCTATCCCCAGGATTTGAGGACGTCGAGACGCTGCTGTCGGACCCTGACCTGGCGCCGATTGGGAGGCAGCAGCTGCAGCAGGCCGTTGACAAGTGAGAGGGGCCGACAGGGATCCGGGAATGGGGCTGAGGGTTGGCGAGAGGCTGAAGATCAAGGCAAAGTTGCAGCTGGTGACACTGATCTGTGTGGGAACAGGGCTGTTGAGAGGGAGCTTGTTGGCGGGCCTAGGGCCGGAGGAGGTTGCGCTAGACACAGGCAACAGCTGGTGAGCCTGGCTGCTGCTGTTGAGCTGCGAAGAGGAGAGCAGCCGCTTACATCACGCATGTCTGACAAATTGTCAAATATATGCACACTCACAGGTACAGGGGGGTTCAGGCCAAGATTTTGGGGATGTTCGCAAAGAAAGACACCATTGAGGCTGACCCCAACCAGAGCCGCCCCTGGTGGGAGGTCAGGTGGTAACACCGTCTGTCCGGTGTGCAGCCTTCCGTTGTGAACTACAGTTGCCCAGTGGGTTGGCAGTCGGCAGCGGCAACTAGGGGTAAGGACACATGTGGCTGAAACCAATTGCGGCACCCAAACAAGCATTTGAAGCTGTGCTGCAATCCTGACACGTCGATATCAATGTGTCTCTGTCATGTACATATGTGACACACCGCCGTTGCTATCAGCACCTTGAGTAAAATGGTCCTTCACACAAGCCAGCCCATTGACGCTGTGCTGCATAGGAGGGTATATTCAGCACAATGAATTGTGCATGGCGACCTGCAGGACGCTGTAATATACTAAGGGGGTCCTGCGGAGGCTGTCCAAAAGCTGCTTGAGCTTCCAAAAAGCAGCCTCAGCACGTGTTTTGTGAAGGCGTGCAAGTTGGCCGGCGAAGGTGGGTGAAGGAATTTGCACTCAAGGCTATGAAGGACACGGTCTGGCTTAGCCTAGTGTGCAACTGCCACGCAGCATGCAGAATCTTATGCCTACACCAGCTGCTGCTGCTGTTGACTTCGGCGCTATGCCCGGCGTCTTCATTTGCACACTAGCCACGGGCCTGGCACTGCGACCTGCCGCCGCTCACGTTGCCGCATTCTCGTGACGCCTCGGGACCCAGCCGTATGTACGCAGTGATTACTTGCTGCGCAGCTCACGGCCCACGCAGCTGTTTGCGCCCCCTTGTTCGCACGCGCAGCTTCCAGGCCGCCGTGGCTGGCCCGCCAGCACAGCGCGGTTGCCTGCAGCAGCCCCCCGTCCTGGGGCGAAAACACCCACCCATGACAGCTACCCTGAAAGTGTGAGTACTGAAGCTGCACGTTGGATTTTATGGCAACTCAAGTGCTGCACTCTGCCTATGGGTGCTGCCTTTTGTGGTCGCTTAGGTCGTCCCTTTCTAGGGCGGACGAAGTCAGTACGCGTTAGCACAACTGATCAAAGCCCTGCTTGTCCATGCCACGCTTCACACGCTCTTACACCAGGCATCAGGTCAGCCGACATCACAATGGCAGCAAGAGTGTCAGGCAAATGGTCGAGAGCAATCGCGTGCATGTCAAGCAAGCTGCCTGCGGCGTCGCGCTGCGTGCTGTGTGCTGAGGTCGGGTGCCCCAACTGCCTCATGCGCCCGTGATAAAACGCTGTGTGCGTACCAACTTCATACTCGCGTGCGAAGGGTTGAGGCCAAAATCGGTCGCGGTACACTTGCGACCGCCGCCGCACACACATACCATCAAATGTGAGGGGGGTGCAAAGACAGCCCGACCCCCCGGGCAAGGCCGGGTGGGAGGGGCCAAAACGGCCGCGCACGTGCGCGGCTCACCTGTCCCACCCTCTCTGGGTCAAAATCCTTTGTTCACTTGCCCCCGCGGCACGAGTGAGAGTGGGAAAGTTGAGGTGTGGTGCAGTGATCTGTGTACAGACTGAGTCCCAAGCTCTCGAAATGCATGGCCTTTACGAATTGTTTTGCGCCGTGGGGTGCCCTGCCGTGGGGGCGCACCGCTGGGGGCGCGCCGCGCTCTCCAAAACTGGATGCAATGTGTGCTGCCCCGTCCGACCAGCGGCCGCGAGCGAGGTGCAAGCATCACGCGCCTCAAACCCAAGCGGCGCCAAATGTTGCAAGGGACGCTCGTGCGCCGAGGGGCGCGCGGCGCCTTATTCTGAACCACGCGAACCATCTCCGCTGCCGCCGTCATCGCTGCTGCTGCGCCGGCGCCCGTTGCTGTGAACCGGCTCTGCTTGCTTTGCGGCCGCCGCCTTGCCATCCTCGCGCGCGTCCAGACCCTCCCCAGCAAGCGCAGACACGGGCTGCTGCTGCTTCCGCTGCCGCTTGGCGGCGGGCGCGGCCGCCCCTGGGGGCGCGCCGCCCTCAGCCCCTTCGTCAAAGGTGCGGATGCCGTTGCGCTGCTGCGGTTCGCGCGATGCGAGCATTGATGCAGGGCGGTAGGAAACGGTGCGAGGACTTTGGAGAGACGTGCAGGCGCCGGCTGATGCCGGACTGTGCAGCCTCCGCCTGTCCCTTATCACGCACCTGCCACCTGCACAGTGCGCAACCCCCCGCACCCTTGCCGACCCAGAGGGGGCTTGTGGTGTGACGAGTCGACACACACCACAGCAAGCACCCCACCCACCCAAAATTCAGCCGTGCCGCGCACCTCCGGCGCGCCGTTGCCGTTGCCGTTGGCCTCGCCGTTGTCGTTCCCGCCCCTGAGGCGTTCTAGCTCGTCCCGCGCGCGCTCAAGGCGGGCCTCCAGGTCGGCGCAGCGCCGCTCCGCCTCCTGTGCGCGCGCCTGTCGCACGCACGCAGAGCCGGGCGCACGCCAAGTCAGGAGGGCGACGGCATGGCGCACAGCGGGACCCAGGTCAGCAGCGCGGAGCCAAGCCTCTCTTGAAAAGCAGACGCAAGCTTCTGCCAAGCCGACATGCCAGAACCCCGCCCTGCACCCCAAAGACCCTCAGATGCACACAGCGCACTGGCGCCCGGTGAACCCCGCCACTGGGCCCCTGCTGCCACCGCCCCCCGTGTCCCTCACGTTGGCCTCGGCCGCCTTGGCCGCCATGTCGTCGAGCTGCTGCTCCAGCGTCTGCAGGTGCTCCTGCTTGCGCTTGCGCGACCGCCGCGCGCTCTCCCGGTTGGACTGCATGCGGCGCATGCGGCGGACCTCGTTCTTGTCCAGACCTGTCATGTCCTCCATGCCGCTGCCGTCGCAGCCCCCCTGGCCCCCGCTGCTGGTCATGCCGCCATTGCCGTTGCCGGCGCCGCCGCCGCTGGGCGGGCGCGCGGGGCGGGCGCCGGAGCGCGGCTTCGGCTGCGCCTGGCTGAGGGAGTTGAGCTGCATCGCGGCCGCGGCCGTCGGGCTGACGGCCGCCGCGAGCGCCAGTGGGCTGGCCGCGGCGGCGGCGGCGGCGGCGGCGGCTGCGGCGGCGCTGAGGCCCGGGACGCCCTGCAGCGCGGCCGCCGCGTGGAGCGCCGCGGGGTCTACCGAGGGCGGCGCGGCGTTGAACGGGGGGATGGGGGGCGTTCGCGACGCGAGGGGCGCTGTGAGGGCGTGCACGGGGGCAGGGAGAGGGGCACGGGCCTTAGAGGAGAGGATGGGGCGAGTGGGACGGGCTCATCGTTAGGCTGAGGGACGGCTCCGCCGCCGCTGCTGCAGCTTCAAGGCGCACCCTCCTGGAGGGGCGGCGCCCCACTGTGCGCAGCTGCCGCTGTTTGGCCGAGCGCACGGGTGTCAGGCGCCTGACGTGCGCAACGTGGACAAGCGCAACCAAGCCGCACGCACCATCTGCGGCTCCCGGCTCGCCCTTCACCGGCAGCGTCTGCGGCGCCGCCGACGCGCCTTGCATCACGAGCTTCGCAAGCAGGTCGAGGGACGCCACGCGGGGCATGCGGCCGCCCGCGCCGCCGCCAGCGCTCAACGGTGCCGCCTCGGCCGCACCGGAGAAGGAGCCCGACGTGCTGATCGGCAGCGCCGGCGCCGCCTCTGCCGCGGCGGCGGCGGCGGCGGCCGCGGACGACGCGTTGGCGGCTGCGGCGAGGTTGGTGGCTGACGGGATGCGCTTCAGGAACTCCTGGAAGGCGGCCTCCGAGTCGGTGCGCCCCATGCCGGCCTGGCCCAGGCGGTAGAGGCCGCCCACCAGGTCGTCCACGCTGAACGAGCGCTCCATGGCGATCGGGGTGGCTGGCCACGGCGCCCGCGACAGGGTTGTAGACCGAAGGACCCTGACCCACCAAGCTCACAGACACCACCACAGCACCCTGCAGCGGCACCCAATGGGAGGATACGAGGGGGGACCTCTAAGAGGTTGGGCGGCAGGGGAGTCATTGTGGTTGGGCGCCCGATTCCGCGCATCGGTGGCAGCGACGCAGCGCAAAGGGGGGGGGGCGCACACTGCGCAGCCCGCTGCTGGGCACCCTACACTGCGCTGCCCACAGGGCCGAAAGAGAGATAAGGTCTTGAAAATTATACGCTAGCCACTCCCAGCCATCTCGCAAGGCCGGCACTGCTGGGGCCATAGCCAGCGCCGATTGCTCCCCAGGGCCGTCCACGGCAACCCTCACCGTCAAAGCCTCTTCTAGCACAACTCCTGTCCAGAACCACCTGAAGTCGAGAGCTAACTCACCGCTATCACTGCTCCAGGGTGTCGCTGACAAGGCTCGACGAGGCTGCCAAGTTGCACTGCCAGGTCAGCACGCTACGATGTAGTGGAGCAGTCCCATAGGTTAAGCGTGAATGGTTCTATTTGGACATCGACAGCAGCCGTCGTGGATCCTGCGCAAATGGGTGTCAGCCACCGAGCCACCGACAAGATTTTGCGGCCCGTGCTTTTGTGATGGCATTCCTTCATCTGTGATCACATTTTGCTACAGTTTTTGCAGCTGCAAGTGCGTATACAGGCCTTTGATAGGCGGATGGGTCAGCACCATGCTCTGCTGATCTGCAGTCAACCCCCCGCAGCCTGCGCTCCAAACCCTTGGATCCGCTACCTCTACTCGCTACCAACAGAGCTGTGGAGCGGCATTACACTGGGCGGGGGCTCCTCACGCGGCGTAGGCCTTGTTCAGCACAACGCCCTCAAACTTGGTCTGGAACCAGCGGGTCGCGTCCTCCTTGGTCACGCGGTGCTGCACGCCCACCCTGGAGTGCACGCGGCGGCGGCGGGCGACGCGGTAGCCGGGGCGCTCCAGGCACACGTAGAAGTCCATCCCTTGGCACAAGAGGGGAGTTGAGTGGAAATGAAGGTGAGAGGGATTATGGGTGCAGGGCAAGGTGGATTTCATTGCAGGGGGTTGCACACGCAGGAACCTGCACAGTGCCTGTGGAGGAAAAAACCAAGTGGGTCACCAAGAGTGCAGCCGCATGCAAGATGTCCCCAGAGCCAGCAGGTTGGCGGCACCCATCGTGGCGGCGCCACCGCCAAGGGCCAACCCTGGGTTTCAATGTCGCACCACGCTCATACTAACTCGCATTGGCAGGTATATGCGAGCTGTAATCAGTTTAAAATGGTGCTTTCACAAGCCCAGCCCCTCCCCCAAAGCCTCATCCTCGTGGGCAGCCCTTGCTCTACCCTTTTCGCCATGCCGACTCCCATCACCCCACCCCCACAGCCTCGCTGCCGGCACATCCACCCTGTCCTTGCGCACCGTAGATGCCCGTGGAGGGGTCGTACTTGATGCCCAGGTCGATGTGCTCGCTGATGCCAAAGCCTGGGGTTGATGCAGGAAGATGATGTGCGCATGTTGGATTCGTGTGGTGGGTGTGTGTGTTTGTGTGTGTGTGTGTGTGTGTGTGTGTGTATGTGTGTGTGTGTGTGTATCATAAGAGCATTTTGTAATGGGCGTGTGAGCGCATGTGTGTTCAGGCATGCATGCGCCTGCCATGCATGCTGTGCAGCCTGGACGTCTGGCAAACACAGCTGGTCACCAAACTGCGACCCTGAGCTGCGGCTGCATCTATCCTGCGCCCACCGAAGTTGCCGCTCTCGCTGAAGTTCTTGCGGATGAGCTCGTACTCCTTCACCTTGAGGCCCGCATCCTAGGAGGGGTGGACAGCCGATGACAACAAGGTGATGAGAGGGCAACGCGATATTGAGGGATGGGTCTGCAGAACCCCGCGTAGGCACTCAGCACGCGCTTGCTGCCGGGCCAACTGGTGGCGCTGCTGTTTTGCTGTTGCGGCACAAGAGTCCTGCTTGACATGCTGCATGTATCCCGACAACACTTGCAGCTTGCTGCACGCTGCCCGCTGCTACCGAAGTGCCCGCCACAGCTCCTGCTACACCCGCCATGTTCAACAGCCGTGCGCCTTGCATCACGCACAGCCTCGCGACATGCTGATGGTGCAAATGTCGTGCAAGGACCACTACTGCACCCTGGATTGCTGAGTCCAGCAGCTAGACTAGATTCAGTGCCATCCGCTGCAAAAGGAACAGCTGGCTGCTTGCAAGGCTGACGCCCCTCTCTCGTGCAGCACATGCCTGCCTGGCCGTGTGCTTGCCTTGACAGACGATGCACTGCCCGCCACGATTCGGTGCTCCTGCTGCCTGACCCGTAGTTGCCAAACCTGCCGGCAACTGCATCTCTGCTGTCTCCCAACGCACCCTGCTGCGCCCGTGTCTCCTGGCACTCACCAGCAGCTGCATCGCCTTCTCGCCGCGGACAGTCACGGAGCACGAAATCTTCTCGTTACGGCGGATGCTGAAGGAGCGCACAGTGTACCTGGCCTTGCCGTACACAGGCTGCTGGCCGGTCAGCTGCTCCAGCACCTGCAACACACGCAGCAAAGAGTCCAGTGCTTGGTGGCCAAACAGACTTCAGCAGCGGCGGAAGCAGCAGCAGCGGCGGCGCAGCGCATATGGCGCAACGACCCTCCGGGGCCGTCAGGGCCGTGTGGGCTGCCCGCGTCACTGTGCACCTTGGCAGCCTTCTGCAGACGATCTCCAGACTCGCCAACACAGATGTTGAGCACCAGCTTGGACACACGGATCTCCCGCATGGGGTTGCCGGCCTTGGCGTCGTTCTGCGTGATTTTACAGCAAACAAACAGGTTTATGATACATTGCTAGCACATTGGTGCCCCCGTGCTGGCCAGCGGGCCCGCCTTTCATCAAGGCGGCCATGGCGGAGTCCCTCGTGCTCCAGCTGCTCACCACCATGGCGCCCCCAGCTGCTTCTATATATCCTGGTCGCTGCAAAGAGGGCGGGTCGTGTGGTGGGCCGCACCAAGTGCGCAATTTCTTGGCGGCAGGCGAGAAGGCGCTGCGCCAGTCACAAAAGAAAATGTCGTTGCAGCTTCCTGCAATTTTGCTGCCGACCCGGGGTGGGTCAAGAAGCATGGTTACTGGTCCAAATCAGGGCGTCCAGCTTTGCACATATATTGACGTGCTCGTCGGCCGGTATTAATGCAGCACAGTTGCTGTTGCTGTGCGCTGCCTGCCCGCCGTTCCTACCCCCCACAGGACCGGCAGCCGCAGTCACAGCAGCGCAATCAGGCCACCTTGTGGAATGGTGAGTGCAAATCAACTTTTACAAGCACAACGGCCATGGCTGCACTTGCGCGTTTGTCCCTGCAGGGGTGGTGTGAGGGTGCACACACTGCGGCCAAGACTGCAACGCCTCTTCTTGACCCTTGCACTGTCACAGGCAGTGGCGGCGCACATGAGAGCCAACCAGCTTTGCAAACTGATTTGAACGAGGTTGTCAACGTGCATAAACCCGTGCGACACGACACCGTCAGAAAGCACGCGCTGCTGAGCCAGGTTGCAACGCTGCCACTCACCGGCGCATGCGGCCGCGATCAATGGGAGTCAGGGCCAGGCCAATCATTGCGGCTTGTCGCGCTGCGCGCTATAGAGTGATGCCAAAGCTTATCCATGGTCCGGGTCTGCAGGCCCTCATGCACCCCAACCTGTATTGTACACTTCCCGCGTCGTGGCAGGTAACCCATGCACACGCTGCCGAGGTAAATGCACGCCCCAAATGTACAAGCGGCTGGCGCAAGGGCCGCTCTAGCTGCTGCAAATTTGCGGCACGTTGGGTATTGCAGGATGCCGTGACATCATGGGTGCACTGTGGGGTTGTCCATGCCACGCAGGGGCGCCACAAAAAGCAGTGAGGCCCATTGACCGCGGTCTGGCACCTCGCAGCAGGATGCAGCTTGCAATGCGATGGCACATGGGCGAGCCGCAAGCCCACTGCGGCACGTGCTTGACAGTGTGCTTTGCGTGATTTGATGGTAAGTCGCAAGGTCGCGCTGATGCCTGACTGCCAAACCTTCGTGAGGAGCCCTTTGGGGACGACCCTGCTTAATCTGGCTGTCGCCAGCAGCAAGCGAGCAGACGCAAGACGTGGCCCGCGAAAGGGCCCCATCAAAACATGGAACCAACAAGGACACCAGCAGCGCAGCGGGCCTATCAGAAAGTCCAACCAACAGCGTTCAGTCAAAACCAACCTCAGGCGATGCCTGATTGCAGGCAGTCGAGCCAGCCAGGCGCGGATTGCAAAGTGCTCCGTCATGGCGCCAACCAGCCTGGCTCCAGAAAAGCCTGGCTTGACTGTTGTAGGCAACCCGCTGCGCCAATGGGGATCTCAAACACTCCGCTTTGTCGCATCGCAGCTGCACCCAGCAGCGCAGTGACAGCGAGCGTGCCGGCGCGGGCTCGGGGTCGTTACGCAGTGGTGTGGCTGGCGGGCAGCTCCTTCTCGTCCGTGATGGTGGGCACCAGCCGGCCCTGCCAGCAGATCAAGGGGCGAGGAGGGTGGGGCTGAGCTGCACCAAGGCAGGACATGACCTGTGCGTGTTTTGACCATGAAATCGCAGCGGGCCGGTACTGCCCTACTGGAAGAGGCACCATGAGCGTGAGGACGGAGCAAGCGCGCCGGCGCCGAGAGACCCACGCACCAGGCGGGCGGCTGCGGCTGAAATGCCCGGGCCGTGCATCCCGAGGTTGTTGCAGGCATCGATGAGGGTGTGCAGCTCGTCAGAAGACAGCGCGTCCACCACCTCGCCGTTCTCAAGCATCGCCTCGGCGTGGGCCATCAGCCCCTTGTGGTAGTGGCCCTGTTGTTAAGGCAAGCGGGTTCAGGCGGTGAATGCGCCAAGGGGGTGGGGGTTGGGTACACATGCATATGCACTCATGTATGCGTGCTTGCACATACAACTGTGCGTACACGTGATGCTTATGTGCACGCAAGGGCCGAGCACGTTTGCAGATGAGGCAACGTCTCCCTGCTAGGTGCGCCTGTCTGGTTTAGTTCACACGGACCAAAAGGGCTGCCAGTGGCGCACCTGCAGGCCGTAGGCCCACATGAGCGACACCAGGTGGCTGGGGCTCATCTCCCCGGCCTCCAGCAGGCTGCAAGCATGGCGCCCCGCGGCATCCGCCAGCTCATCGTCGTCGTAGCTGCAGGGGTGTATTGTGTGGTGCATGGACAGAGGGCAATCAGTGGATGCCTGCCTCCCATGGGGGAGGCACGCAGCCGGCAGTTGATACGCGCATGTACGAGCGTCCTGCTGCGCCGCTCAACCAGCGGCGTGGCCGCACACCTCTACATTGTCACAGCCCTTTTCACCACTCACCCTACCAAAACCAGCACATCACTCTCAGCCCATGGGCCTGACAGCCCGCAACCCCGTCACACACAAGCCAACCTTCAGCCCAAACCCCCCACCCTCCACACGCCAACCGAACCTCTGACCCAAACCCACCCTACGCTGGCAAGGCCTGCCAGCAGGCGCGCGAGGCTGTTTGCGTCGAAGGTCTCTATGTTGACTGTCGCGTAGTCCGCCACCAGCTCCGCAAGCCTCTGGTCAGCCCAGCCCATCTGAGCCTCAGCGTACACCACATCGGCCAGGCTCGTGCTGCAAGCAGTGGGGGAGGTGCGAGCGCAGACGAACAGGTGATGAGCACCCGGGATGGGGCCCTGCAGTGCCTGGCTGCGTTCAGTCTGGGGCTTGTAGCAGCGTTCTGCTGCTGGAGTGGAACGCACTCCAGCCAATAGGCAAACGCCGCTCATGCCGACCCAGCTTGTCACCACCCCCCTCTGTTAGCGTTGCCAATCGTGCCCAGCAATGCGCCCGCCGCACCTGTCGCAGCTGTCCGCCAGCTTCTCAGCCACGCTGTGCATCACCCTCATCAGGGCGTCGTCCTGGTAGCCGCAGCGGCCGAACGACCAAAGCATCTTGGGGAGTGCAACGGTTGAGGGGGGGGCAGGCGCGTCGAAAGAGCCTGTGAGGGTGACCCTGACGGTTGCAGCACTGTTGGCCATTGACCCCACCGCTTGACCACAAGCAGCACCTTTTGGTCACAGCTGGCCCAGACTGTCGCACTGCGCATCACATGTACGTGCACGCGCAGTCCACCTTTGCCAGGCTCGTGGCGTCGAAGCGGTCGGCGTTTGCTTTCAAATAGTTGACCGCCTCCTGCGGGTTGTCAACAACGGTCCGGAGGCGCGAACGGCGTCAGCGCGATGAAGTTAAATGTCCGCGCTGACGGCGCCCAGCGCAGAGCGTGCGGCCAACTTCACAGCTAGGCGCCAATAGCACAGCTGCCCAGCGCGGGCTTTGGCAGGATGCCCTGCACAGCTTGAAGTAGCTCTGGCAGCACAGCTGCTGGGACATGGACCAGGTGGGAGAGAATGACTCACGGTCATGAGCTCGTAGTCATAGTAGGGTCCCAGGCCATAGGAGTGGACAATGTCGGCCAGCACAGCCGGCTCATACGCTGACATCTTTGGGAGGATGGCTACGTGGGAAGAGCATTGTAAGGCGGGGGCAATGAGACTTATCTGGGACTGTGGCACGGCCTGCGTCCGGCGCTTAACTCCCGACTCAAAGGTCCACTTTATCTTCCTGCCCCGGGGACTCCATGACGGGCACGTCCAACTAGTCACCAAGCCCCGTGGCTCACCCTCTACGATGTGGCGCTGGCTGCCGGCCTGGCACGCCACCCACCTTCTGTCATGGCGCTCTTGAAGCCGACGTCATGGAAGCCCAGCTCCGCGAGCGCCGCCAGCACATCGCGGATCTGCTCGGGAGACAGCTGGCCGGCTGTGGCCAGGGCGCTGGCGGAATGGGCCAGTGCTGAGAGGCGCGCGTGGTCCTTGGTCTGGGGGCATCATGGGGGAGGGGGTGCAAGGGTGCTGTTGCGGAGGTGCACGGTTGGGGGTGCCTGAGCACAGCGCCCGGAGGGGGGGTGCGGGTGGGACCACAGCACGTTGTGCCGTTCTTACAGGTGAGTAGAGGGGTCTGACGCTCGTCACAATGACAAGTCCCCCAGGCTAGGCACAGTGATGCTTTGCCCAGGTCGCCCACAGCACCAGAGTCTGCAGCAACACCCACCCACCCGCTCCTGCCTGGCGGCGGCCACAGCCATCACGACCTCCGTCGAGGAGCTCGAGGCTGGCGCTGATGATGTACGCAGGCCACGGCACGGCGAGGCAGGGGCACACCAGGCCGCAGCCGCGACTGCCGTCAAGCCGGGGGCCGCTGTGGCGTTGTTGCCTGCGAGGGCGCACAGCATGCGCGCGCCCCGCAATATCGCTGAGCGCCCCGCGAGCGCCGGCAGTGAAGGGGAGGCGGACGCATACGCGCGAGCCGACACTGGACCGGCCGTCTGGGGCTGTCCTGAGTGCGCGGCACGGTGGGTCGCGCCCGTCGCAAGTGCGGGCCATGCTGTTGTAGCAAGCGCGGCCTGGGATGCTGCGAGGGCGGAATAGCAGAGCCTGCTAGTAGCCCCAGCCTTGATTACGAGCGGCAATGGGCTCAGGAGGCAATAGGGTCCCATGGCGCCGGCTGCAAGGCACGTCTCTGTCGTGATCTTTCGCCGGAACGAGCAACCAGGACCTGGCCCGGCCTGCGACGGGGAACTACAGGCAATCGATTTCAGGGTTCAAAAACCTTATGTTGAACGACTCAGCAAGCCCCTGAAGGCTTAACGTTGAACGAGCACGTTGCCCGCGTGTACAGCAGGTGGGTCTGCGGTGATGTATGCGTAGCGAGAGCGACTATGATCTTCAAAGCGAGTGCTCGCCTTTTGATAGGGCACCGCCATGGCCTGTCGGGGGTCCTCTCTGCACTCACCAGGATGGTGCCGGTGTGCAAGGCTGACACCCCAAGCTTTCCATTCAAGAAGTGTTGTGGGATGGAAGCAGCGGTTTGGAATCCTTTTCTTTGAAGTTTTTTATGATAGCGCGGGTGCACAAATCGTTGTTCCATCGGTGATCTGCAACCTACAGCGCACCCAAGTTCATCCGAGTCTCTGGGCCCCAAGGCTCGCTCCCCATCAGCATGGCAGCTCCTACGGTGCAGCTGATCGACGGTGACGGCGATTTTCAGGAGGACTCAGTCAAGGCATGGGTGAACGACACCGGCGTCGCAGATAGCCGCGCCAACTACCAGGTGGTGGCCATCATGGGCCCGCAGAGCAGCGGCAAGTCGACGCTCATGAATCATGTGGTGCGCTGGTCGCACATGGTGGCGATGGCATGCGGCGACGAGGCGGTTGGGCGGTGGCAGCGACTGCGAGGAGCTGCGCGCATGCGTGCATGCGCTGCATGCTGCTGGCATGGATTGCGCCAATTATCCACGCAACACCAGTGGCCGGGGGCTGGATTCGCAAGGGTTTCAGCTATGCGCATGCATTAGTTGTCACTCACTGTGTTGCACCATCAGTTGAGCACCCTTGGGGGCCGCGGCGGCGCATGGCTGCCCAGTCCAGCGCACATGCGCCGGCAACCCGCGCCATACCTACCAGCACCCATCGGCACGCCCGCCCCAATTATGTCCTACTGCTGTCTGGGTGCACCCGTCACGTGCCTGGCACCCTCCACGCTCAGTTTGGTACCACCTTTACAGAGATGGACGCCCTGACAGGGCGGCGGCAGACGACGCGCGGCGTCTGGCTCGCCAAGTGAGTTCATAGCAGGGCCCCTAATCGATTGACAAGCAGCAGCAGCAGCAGCAGCAGCAGCAGTAGCAGCGGTAGCAGCAGCAGCAGCAGCAGCGGGGGCGGCGGCGGTAGCAGCAGCGTCGGGGCACGACAGCTGCCGCATAAGGAGCAACACCGTGGCGCCCTGCGATCTGAATCCCTGACGCCCATTGGCTCCTGAGCTGTTGCTGCTCTCAGCATGCAATCCCTGCTTTGGATCCACGGGCCAAAGCTGGCAGGGCGGGCGTGCATCAACGCCATCGCGTCACCCTCGCAATGCTCAGGTCCCCCAAAGTGGCGGACATCACAACGTTAGTCATGGACCTGGAGGGGTCGGACGGCCGTGAGAGGGGGGAGGACGACACAAATTTTGAGCGCCAGGTCAGCTGCGGGCCGTGCCATGATAGGGAGGCAGGGTGGGCAGCGCCACGGTGCAGCAGTGGGTAGGCGCAGGGGTCATGTCAAGGCGGATGACTGGGGGTGCTCACGAAGAGATCCATGTTCAAAAGCGCCAGGCGGCTGGGCGCAGCACAAGCAACCCCTGTCCGGAGCCTCTGCATGAAACTCATGCAACAGCTGCAAACTCGTACTGTTCTGCTGCCTCGATGCTAGAAGCCTGACGGCCTCATTGACCCCTCCCCCATCAGGCCGCGCTGTTCGCCCTGGCTGTGGCGGACGTGCTGCTCGTCAACATCTGGTGCCACGACATCGGTCGCGAGCACGGCAGCGGCAAGCCCCTCATGAAGACCATCTTCCAGGTGGGGCGTGCAAGGCAAGCGTGGCGGCTCAAGGGCCGCAGTCCCGGTGTGGAGGGCGAGGGGGGGGGGAGCGTAAAAGGGAGGACGGGTAGGCGTCGTGGATGCCACCACTGCGTGCAGGGGTGCTGGCTGGTGATCAGGAGCATTTGACCAGCGTTGAGTTGGGCCCTGGCAATGGCCATGCAGTCCATTCACCGTGATGCAGCACGCTGTCGCCATCGCCGCAGCTCGCGTCAACCAAGCCACCCGCGTGCAACTTTTCATGCACCCCCACCCCAAACCTCCACCCTTCAGGTCAACCTGAAGCTGTTTGCGCCAGAGCCAAACCGCCGGAAAACGGTGCTGCTGTTCGTCATCCGCGACAAGAGCAAGACCCCGCTCACCAAGGTGCGGCCGCCTGAGCCCGTCGGCAAGGACGGGGTGAAGCCTAGTGTCAATCCCCTTGCAGGCACTTGTGTTTTGAACGGCACATGCATGCATGTGTGGGAAGCTTGCAAGCGGTGCTGGCGCAGTTGGCGCATGACGCACGCACCAACTGCGATCGCGGGCGCTGCTTGCGCACTCGCAGTTGTCGGAGACGCTGGGCGAGGACGTGGCCAAGATGTGGGACTCCATCAGCAAGCCGCCGCAGTACGTTGGCAGCTGCATAGAGGACTTTTTTGAGATCCAGTATGCTGCCCTGCCCCACTTCGAGGAGAAGTACGATGACTTTGTGGCGGATAGCATCGTGCTGCGGCGCAGGTGTGTGTGTGGGTGTGTGTAGGGGTGGGGGGGGCCGCCCACGTTTGCACCGGAGCGCTTGCGTGTGCGTGCTTGCATGCCCGCATCGTGTGTGTGTGTGTGTGTTTATGTATGTATGTATTTATGTATGTATTTATTTATGTATTTATGTATGTATGTATGTATGTATGTATGTATGTATGTATGTATGTATGTATGTATGTATGTATGTATGTATGTATGTATGTATGTATGTGTGTGTGTGTGTGTGTTTGTGCGCATGCACGTGCACGTGCATGCAAAGAATGTTTTGGGCACGCGCTCACATGCGTCGTGCGCATGGGTTTGGCCAAGCGGGCAAGTGCAAATACGCTGGAGGGAAATGCTTGGGGATTGTCTCACCCAATTAGTGTTCACGCTTGGCAACAACTAACAGTCGCAGGTCAGGTTGGGGCCACTTTGCTGACTGTGTGCGGCCTTGTCCGTCCCTCCCTGTCTTCACCACAGGTTCTCGCCTCCTGATGAGGGCGACGAGTCGAGTGAGCGAACCCCGCCTTTGTCAAGCGGCACATCAAATGACCAGTCACGGGCATCAAATTTGTCACCGCATGCTGACTGCACGGCTGCCGTCACGCGAGCGTCCAGCAGCCTGGCATGTGAACACACGGCCCTCACCAGCCACTGCATGATCCTTGGCCACCCCCTCCCACCCATGTCAGCGCACACGCACTGGTTAGGCTAGCTTTCAACCTCTTTCCTGCAAACCCCCTTGCTCAGGCGACAGCCTGGTGCGCCGCCACGCGGACCAGCTGCCGGCCGGGGCGCTGCCGCTGAGCACGGCCAACATTTGGTCCGTCATCCGCAGCCAGAAGGACCTCAACCTTCCCGCGCACAAGGTGACATGGCGGGCTGCTTGTGCGCATGCGCATGCTTGTGAGTAAATTGGGCCAACTTTGCACAGACGGGCCAAGTGCACACATTTTCAGCCACCCACGTATTCATAGCCTCCACTGTGGTGTCACCACAGTCTCAATCTGTCAGCTTTGTTGCGCCAACCAGGGCGTTCCAACAAAACGCAAACGCCCGCACCCTTTCCAACCCCCGCCGGCCGACAACCCCTCCCCTCCTGCCCTCAGATCATGGTGGCCAACGTTCGCTGCGAGGACACCAAGAACGACCAGCTGGCGGCCTTTGCCGCCGACCAAGCGTGGCAGGCGCTGGCGCAGGAGGCGGAGAGGGGCCTCGTGAGGGACTTTGGGGCGCTGGCGGCCGGCCTGAAGGACTCTTGTGTCGACGGGTGCGCGCTGACGTGTGCAGAGGTTGGGTGGGGGGTGGCAGTGGCTGTGAAAGCGACAGGGTGCTCTGTGTTTGCCAGAAACGTTTGCAGCACACTTACTGTGTGCAGGTCTGAGGCACGCAAGGTGCCGGTGTGGGTGGAGGTAAGAGCAGCCTTGTTCGCCGCGGCCGCACCTAGCACCTTCTCTTTGGCGATGCGCGGCCGTCCAGGGCGGCTGCTGGCGGTGTACCAGCTGTGCAGCGCTGCTGGGGGCTCTGCAGTTTGCCCGCCCCTCACTGCCGTGCACAATTCCTATGCTCCCCCTTTCGAACCTGCCCAACATTTTTTGGTCCCTCCTCGCGCAAACATCGTGCCTGCTGTGTGGTGCACCCCACCCGCACTCAGCCTCTGCTCAGGTTATCGCCCCTTCGCAGCTGGCTGTTCCAGTGTCATGGCAGCCCCAATACTTGCTCCCCTGTCCTTCCCGTCGCGCCCGACCTGCCATGACGCCACCCATGCACCCCACCCCCAATACCCCCGCCCCCCAAACAGCACCTACCTCAACACCCATCCCCTCAGGCT